TCTGTGTAGCAGTAGTGTGGTAGTGCCTGTGTAGCAGTAGTGTGGTAGTGTCTGTGTAGCAGTAGTGTGGTAGTGTCTGTGTAGCAGTAGTGTGGTAGTGTCTGTGTAGCAGTAGTGTGGTAGTGTCTGTGTAGCAGTAGTGTGGTAGTGTCTGTGTAGCAGTAGTGTGGTAGTGCCTGTGTAGCAGTAGTGTGGTAGTGTCTGTGTAGCAGTAGTGTGGTAGTGTCTGTGTAGCAGTAGTGTGGTAGTGTCTGTGTAGCAGTAGTGTGGTAGTGTCTGCGTAGCAGTAGTGTGGTAGTGTTTGTGTAGCAGTAGTGTGGTAGTGTCTGTGTAGCAGTAGTGTGGTAGTGTCTGTGTAGCAGTAGTGTGGTAGTGTCTGCGTAGCAGTAGTGTGGTAGTGTCTGTGTAGCAGTAGTGTGGTAGTGTCTGTGTAGCAGTAGCGTGGTAGTGTCTGTGTAGCAGTAGTGTGGTAGTGTCTGTGTAGCAGTAGTGTGGTAGTGTCTGTGTAGCAGTAGTGTGGCAGTGTTTGTGTAGCAGTAGTGTGGCAGTGTTTGTGTAGCAGTAGTATGACAGTGTTTGTGTAGCAGTAGTGTGGCAGTGTTTGTGTAGCAGTAGTGTCTGTGTAGCAGTAGTGTCTGTGTAGCAGTAGTGACTGTGTAACAGTAGTGTGGTAGTGACTGTGTAGCATTCGTGTGGTAGTGTCTGTGTAGCAGTAGTGTGGTAGTGTCTGTGTAGCAGTAGTGTGGTAGTGTCTGTGTAGCAGTAGTGTGGTAGTGTCTGTGTAGCAGTAGTGTGGTAGTGCCTGTGTAGCAGTAGTGTGGTAGTGTCTGTGTAGCAGTAGTGTGGTAGTGACTGTGTAGCATTCGTGTGGTAGTGTCTGTGTAGCAGTAGTGTGGTAGTGTCTGTGTAGCAGTAGTGTGGTAGTGTCTGTGTAGCAGTAGTGTGGTAGTGTCTGTGTAGCAGTAGTGTGGTAGTGTCTGTGTAGCAGTAGTGTGGTAGTGTCTGTGTAGCAGTAGTGTGGTAGTGTCTGTGTAGCAGTAGTGTGGTAGTGTCTGTGTAGCAGTAGTGTGGTAGTGTCTGTGTAGCAGTAGTGTGGTAGTGTCTGTGTAGCAGTAGTGTGGTAATGTCTGTGTTGCAGGAGAGTGGCTAACAATGTTTTTGATGCAAGAGTGTTGCAGTGCTTTTGCTCTAGGAGCTCGGTAGTGTTAATGTTGCATAAGTGTGGCAGTATTTGTGTTATATGAGTGTGGCTTAGCAATGTTTGTGTTGCAGGAGTGTGGCTAGCAATGTTTGTGTTGCAGGAGTGTGGCTAGCTATGTTTGTGTTGCAGGAGTGTGGCTAGCAATGTTTTCGTTGTAGGAGTGTGGCTAGGAATGTTTGTGTTGCAGGAGTGTGGCTAGCAATGTTTGTGTTATTCGAGTGTGGCTAACTATGTTTGTGTTGCAGGAGTGTGGCTAGCAATGTTTGCGTTGCAGGAGTGTGGCTAGGAATGTTTGTGTTGCAGGAGTGAATGTCTGTGTTGCAGGAGTGTGGTTAGCAATGTCTGTGTTGCAGGAGTGTGCCTAGCAATGTCTGTGTTGCAGGAATGTGGCTAGCAATGTCTGTGTTGCAGGAGTGTGGCTAGCAATGTCTGCGTTGCAGGAGTGTGGCTAGCAATATCTGTGTTGCAGGAGTGTGGCTAGCAATGTCTGTGTTGCAGGAGTGTGGCTAGCAATGTCTGTGTTGCAGGAGTGTGGGCTAGCAATGTCTGTGTTGCAGGAGTGTGGCTAGCAATGTCTGTGTTGCAGGAGTGTGGCTAGCAATGTCTGTGTTGCAGGAGTGTGGCTAGCAATGTCTGTGTTGCAGGAGTACATTAGTTTTATCATCACTTCCAGAATATTCAACATTAACAACGTTCATCTAGGTGAACCTCGAGCAACACAACAACACATGGTTGTTCTTCTCGGTTGTTCTTCTCGGTTGTTCTTCTCCGCACATCACATTACACAGCTTAAGATCAAAGTTCATCACTAAATTATCAATGTGAAATCATCTGTATTTATTGTCGTACTACGACTCTCGCACCAAAATAATAATGGTGGTCGTGTTGTTGTTCATAACAAAGTTTGACGCCGGGATATTGTAAAATAAGAAAGTGACTTTTAAAAAAATTATTCTCGAAGCTTCAGTTCGATGTATATATGGAGGCTAAGACATCTTTTGAAGAAGAACAAAAATTAAAATAGAAGAATATGTTCATATTGAAAAAGACAAACAATGATAATGAAAGTTAACGAAGATAAGGAATTAGACAAATCTGAAATGTTTCTTCTTAGAAGGAAGATAAGAGCAGCGCCACTTAAAACTAATTCTGGACAGCATAAAAAATAATAAAAAAATAAATTTTTAGGCATGTTTCTTCTTAGTCTTTACACAAGTAGACACAAACAAAATACCAGTAATTGATTATTATACTGATCCCGTGGAAAATAAATTATGCAATATCACTGTAACCATAGACAAGGTTATTAAAATAAATTTTAAGACCCCGATAAATTATTTTAAAGGGTTTTAAGGACTGGAAGACAAACCTGCTGATTATTCCTTTCAGTATACCCTTGCAAATGGGCATCATTCCAGATATGTGAAAGATGCCTATTATAATTCCAATTTACAAAAGGGGAGATAAATTCTCACCTAGGAATTACCACCTCATCCATTTGATGTCAGTAGTGGGTAATTCATTAGAATCAATAATAGCTGATACAATCTGAAGCCCCATGAAGGGTTAATGAACAGAATTTAGATAGTCACAACACAGATTCACAAGATGCCATTCTTTCTTAACAAATTAAATTGGAAATTTAACGAGAAAATCGACATGGAAACTATTTTGCTTTCAGTAAAGCTTCTGATAGAGTCCCACACGACACATACTGTTGGAGGTCAAATTCTTTCAATTGTGAGAACATAAATGATTAATTGGCAGTAGAGAGTTTGCTTAAATGTAATAAAGTCAGATTAAAGGCCAGTCACAAGTGGCTTTCCACAAGGATCAGTTGTGTGCTCGTTGGTGTTAACATTCTTATAACCTTCATAAACAAATTTAAAGCGACTTAAGATTTTGTGATGGTACAATAAACCGCAGAGTGATGAGTCACAGGAAGACTACACAGAATTTCAGAATGATGTGAACAAATTATTGCTTTCGTTGAAAAAAAATGATAGATGTTTTGTGTGGAAAAAGGCTGTACTAATCTTTGGAAATGAAAGTAACTCTGGCCATATATCAAATGAATTATTTTGAACTTCATCATACTGGATGTTGGAATGATTTAGAAGTCTTTGTTAGGACAAATTTGAAGCCAAGTCAGCATTGCTTAAACGTCCATAATAAGGCCAATAAACACCTTGGATTTATAGCAACAGGTAAAAGAAACAGAAATTGCTAAGATATTCATCTACTATACCTAACATATAACTAATAAGGCCTCATTAAAATTATGAAGTGCAGGTGTGGTCTACATGCTGCAGAATGGATATAACTGAATTAGAGAATATACGAAGAAGAATGATGAAGTTAATTCACTCTATATGAAACCAATCCAATTAGAAAAATTGGTATAGTGAGTATAAAATTTCTTGAAATGTATAGAATGATGGGCAATGTGAGGTATACAGGTGGATGGCAGGTATAAATAAAGGTGAGAGAAATAGGGTGCTAAGGATATCTTACCTGGAAAGACCTTAAAACAATAGTTTCAAGTTGGATAAACTAATAATGAGAAAGGACAGAGGAAAACACTCGTTTATCAACAGAACTGTTAAGAAGTTCTTCCAAGTAGAGTCACTGAAGCTACGATTTTTATTTTAAAAACTGGTTAAACAATATATGGGTGAAAAGGATTAGATCTGAAAATAAACTTCCTCGACTAGGCAAGTGATAATAATAATAATAATAATAATAATAATAATAATAATAATAATAATAATAATAATAATAATAATAATAATAATAATAATAATATCTTTATTTCTACAAGTATAATGACATACACATACTACTAAATAAAAAGCCGCTTATTATGCTGAGCATTTCAGGCAAATTAGGTCAGTTTTGTCCCAAGATGCGACCCACACCAGTCCACTAACACCCAGGATGCGACCCACACCAGTCCACTAACACCCAGGATGCGACCCACACCAGTCCACTAACACCCAGGATGCGACCCACACCAGTCCACTAATACCCAGGATGCGACCCACACCAGTCCACTAACACCCAGGATGCGACCCACACCAGTCCACTAACACCCAGGTACCTATTTTACTGATGGGTGAACATGGACAACCAGTGTAAAGAAACACGGCCAATGTTTCTACCCTCGCCGGGAATCGACCTCGGACACTCAGTGTGTGAAGTAAGAGCTTTTGCCACCAGGCCACGGGTCACCATACTGTTTTGTTTGTTTATTCTTGTTGTCACGAAAGCCTTGTTAAGCCGAATCATGATATAAAAAACAGACTTCATGAACTCTTATAATGAATATAAGAAACATTTCATTGGGAAATCTTCCCAGGACACTGTCATACAAACAATTGTATAATGATAAACAAACATAAAAGACACAATGCGTTTGTACATCACTGATACATCGACAATCACCTCGTGAATTGGGTAAATCCTATTTATCCAAGAAAGTGGCTCAGATGGTATAAGATGCCTTTAATACCATATTATCAACACTTCTAACATCAGTATTCAAAATCAGTGTAGCTTAAAATTAATAAATCTTCAGCTCACGTCATTTTCGAAAGTTATCCAGTCATATTAGACTATTATGTTCCTAGGGAACATAACAGTCTGCTCTACACACTGCAGTGCTCCCTCGCTCTCAGATAAACCTCTTCTGCACCTCACATTCCTTTCTCTCTAGTTTTACATATAACCCTCTTTTCAATAGGCTTTAAACCTAATAAACTAAATATTTTTTCCTGTTTTCTTGATGGTAACATGACAGACGCGGCAGGTCGGGAGGGACACAGTGTCATGGGTTACATTTATCGTCACACACAAGGAGAACGGTGCAGTGCTGACGTGTACAGCTTCGTCTTCTACACTACCAGATCCTCCTGTCTCCACCAGTACCACACTTAATGTTACACGTAAGTGATACTAAAACTAGTGGCATACCTATTATTATTATTATTATTATTGTTATTATTATTATTATTATTATTACTATTATTATTATTGTTATTATTATTATTATTATTATTATTATTATTATTATTATTATTATTATTATTATTATTATTATTATTATTATTATTATTATTATTATATTATTATTGTGTGAAAGAAACAGGTTTAGGGAAAGGAAACCTTGTATTAATTTTAATAATAATAATAATAATAATAATAATAATAATAATAATAATAATAATAATAATAATAATAATAATAATAATAATAATAATAATAATTAAGCTATTACTAATCCGGCTTCTTGGTATTTTAATCTCTGACTGCACATTTAAGTCTCTCGCATCTTTTCTCATTTTTCTCAGTCTTATCTCTCATTAATTTGTGGTATAAGGAAAGAATCTCTCTTGTAGCTTGTAATACATGGTAAGAGCTACCAGCTCTCCAACACATGTACAGAGAAATGAGTTTCTCCCTCCTCTTGCCTGATTATATCCCCAGGCACTTCACCAACCCAGGTGATTCTCACTTCTCCACTCTATGACACTCTCTGTCTCTCCCTCTCTCTCTCTCTCTCCCTCTCTCTCTCTTCCTTTCTGTCTCTCTCTCTCATAGTCCACATTTAATAGTTTTCATTAAACTTTTATGTTAATCAAACACTTTTAACAATAAACTTCAACAAAGCTTCACTGTTAAACAAGACAAAACAGTTTATAATGTTTCTTACAGATGGTAAATACGTCACAAGTAATCTTTAAGATATCTGTTAAGTGTACCGCAGGTAAGACAACACAAGACATTATCTTCATTCATAAATTAAACAAGATAGTCACAGCAGTGTCCTCTGGGACTTGGTTTTAGGCTGAGAAGAATTTTATGGTAAGCACATAAATAAACATTACAGAGAGAAACATTTCCAGGTAATCTCTTAGTGTAGTAATGCATAACATTGTGAATAAAGCTAAAATCTTAAGTTTGGTCACAAAAAATGTTTTGTTTAATAACAATACAACCAGAGGGCCTTATATCGGTATTATATACGAAAGTAAAATTACTACATCCTTCAGTTAAAATCTTGCGAATTCCTTGCATTGTTAAATTCTCTAGTAAGGCTGATGCATGCAGGGGATGAGATGAAAAGCTGTAAGCCTTCTCCCTGAAAGCTGGCTGCCTTGGATCAAAGTCTAGCGCAAGCTGGACTCCAAGGTACTGGCCCAGTGTGGGTAGATTGGTAAAGCACTGCGTACCTTGTTCCAAGGTTCGAGTCTCCTTCATCCAGAGATCAGTGTTTGTGTATATTTCGCCTGCTCTTGCGAATTCCTTGCATATATATATATATATATATATATATATATATATATATATATATATATATATATATATATATATATATATATATATATATATATATATATATATATATATATATATATATATATATATATATATATATATATATATATATATATATATATATATATATATATATATATATATATATATATATATATATATATATATATATATATATATATATATATATATATATATATATATATATATATATATATATATATATATATATATATATATATATATATATATATATATATAATATATATATATATATATATATATATATATATATATATATATATATATATATATATATGCAATAAGAACACAGTAAACAGGTGAATTTCAGAATATGCAAAACAGAAAACCTACAAATAACTGTTCCTATGTCCACTATTATTCCTCGCATCAAGATAGAGTCAAACTGTCTGTTTTCTCATCAATGTTTTTGAGAGCTTTACGAATTTGTAGTCCTGAGTTCATAGATGAGGAAATATCCAAAATTTATGAAATAGGTAATGATTTAAAATACCCAAGAAATGTAATTGATAAATCTTTTAAAGTTGCTAGAAATACTTTTTACAATCCAAAAAGGGACAACCAGCCTTATTCAACTAAAAATATGTTGGTTCTCCCTTACCATGAAAACTTGGTTGATATGCCTTCTCTTCTTAAGACTTTTAATATTAAAGTTGTATTCAAAAATCTTGATACAGTAAAAAAACTTTTGATAAAGAATTCCCCCTAAAATGCTGATGGATGTGTCTATAAGATTCCTGGTAAAATTTGCGATAAAGTTTATTACGGTCAAACTGGTAAAAATCTCGAACTAAGATTAAAACAACATAAATACAGCATTAGAACTGGACAAGATTCCAATGCTCTATTTATTCATGTAAGAGATTTTAACCATCCAATTGATTTTCAAAAAGTTGAGAAAGTAGTATCAAGCAAGTCCATGGTCGACAGGAATATAATTGAATCTTGTTTCATAAAAAGCAGTTTTGACAATAATATGAATATTTCCTTTGGTTTATATAAATTAGATCCATTTATAATTAATAGAATTTGGGAAGAATTTAATAATACACTGGACAAATAATAATTTTTAAATTTTCTTGGGTAGAATAGTTTGTGGGTGAGTTGTGCAAAGGAACCGTCCAGATGGGTCGGCGCGCGTCAGGTGTTTAACCGTTGTGGGATCTGATAGTGAGGTGTTGGCCAGACCCCTTATATAGCTTCCTTGGATGCTTTACTTTCATAGTTCCTTGATAATGTGAGTAGTCACGAAAGCGCTTGGAATTTCTCTATTCTTTCAGAGTGGTTGTTTTGCATATATATATATATATATATATATATATATATATATATATATATATATATATATATATATATATATATATATATATATATGTATATATATATTAATGTGACCACGAACGAGTGGTATTGATCAATAACAACATTGCACTAGCCAAGGACTAGAACCCATGCTGCTTTGGCCTGCCTCATGGTGGGCGAAAACACATGACGCCCTAATCCACTGGACCATTCGATCCTTAAGAGTAGCGCATCCAGCGGAACTGGATGTTGTACTCGCTACCCAAGGACATACGGTGGTGTGGGTGACTCTAGGCTAATTTCATTCTAGTCCCTGTTTGGTGTACTAGTACAACGAGAAGTATTTTATATTATTGTGACCACGAACGAGTGGTATTGATCAATAATAACACTGCACTAGCCAAGGACTCTAACCCATGCTAGAATGAAATTAGCCTAGAGTCATCCACACCATCTTGTGTCCTTGGGTAGCGAATACAACATCCATTTCCTCTGGATGCGCTACTCTTATGGATCATATGGTTCAGTGGATTAGGGCGTCATGTGTTTTCGCCCACCATGAGGCAGGCCAAAACAGCATGGGTTTTTCAGTGTATATGACGTGTACTTCAGAGAGAGGATTAACAAAGCATAAGACTCTGCATTAAATATTGTACGAATGATGTTCTTAAATTAATTTTAATAGATCCTAAAGAATTTAAAGGGGATTTTTTTTGTTACCCCAGTAGGAACGTGTTGTGTTTGAGGCAGTGTGTGACTGGTCAGTATGGTCACCATCGTTTATCATTTTGAAAAGGTTATGTCAAACATAAAATAATTATTAATGATATCATTGCAAAATATGTAAAATAAAGATCTTGAACCTTCAATTATAATTATTTGTTCTTTTAAACCTTTATAAAGGTTCAGATAGAGCTTATGAAATTAATGATGTTTATGAAGGCTGTTAACTATCCTTATTAGCATTTCCATCATTAAATCTGTAATATCGTAAAAAAATAACTGTCATTTATCGAAATGATGGATATCATCTGGTATTTTATTTTAATTAATTTAAAGAGAATTTCAACGACGCATCTTATGACTTGGCCGGCAGGTCATCTTATGACTTGGCCGGCAGGTCATCTTATGACTTGGCCGGCAGGTCATCTTATGACTTGGCCGGCAGGTCATCTTATGACTTGGCCGGCAGGTCATCTTATGACTTGGCCGGCAGGTCTTCTTATGACTTGGCCGGCAGGTCTTCTTATGACTTGGCCGGCAGGTCATCTTATGACTTGGCCGGCAGGTCTTCTTATGACTTGGCCGGCAGGTCATCTTATGACTTGGCCGGCAGGTCTTCTTATGACTTGGCCGGCAGGTCTTCTAATGACTTGGCCGGCAGGTCATCTTATGACTTGGCCGGCAGGTCTTCTTATGACTTGGCCGGCAGGTCTTCTTATGACTTGGCCGGCAGGTCTTCTTATGACTTGGCCGGCAGGTCTTCTTATGACTTGGCCGGCAGGTCTTCTTATGACTTGGCCGGCAGGTCATCTTATGACTTGGCCGGCAGGTCTTCTTATGACTTGGCCGGCAGGTCATCTTATGACTTGGCCGGCAGGTCTTCTTATGACTTGGCCGGCAGATCTTCTTATGACTTGGCCGGCAGGTCTTCTTATGACTTGGCCGGCAGGTCATCTTATGACTTGGCCGGCAGGTCATCTTATGACTTGGCCGGCAGGTCATCTTATGACTTGGCCGGCAGGTCTTCTTATGACTTGGCCGGCAGGTCTTCTTATGACTTGGCCGGCAGGTCATCTTATGACTTGGCCGGCAGGTCATCTTATGACTTGGCCGGCAGGTCATCTTATGACTTGGCCGGCAGGTCTTCTTATGACTTGGCCGGCAGGTCATCTTATGACTTGGCCGGCAGGTCATCTTATGACTTGGCCGGCAGGTCTTCTTCTGGTATTTTATAACTTTAATTATGGGACTAATTAATTTGACTTTTCAAAGATCTTTATGAAGGTCATCGATGATTATAATCATCAAAGGAGAATTTAATTTGAATTTTGCAAAAATAGAAAATAATATTATGCGGGTTTGGGCCGGAGTGAAAACATAGTCTGGCAGGCCAAATTGAGGGAGGTTAACATACGTCTGGCAGGCTTAGTTGGGGATCAACTACGTTGGCAGGCAGTTGGGGTATCAACTAGTCTGGCAGGCTAGTTGGGGTGGTTACATACGTTGGCAGGCAAGTTGAGGGTTTCAACTTCGTCTGGCA